AAGTAAGGGGAGGTAACAACTGAAAAATTAAAGTCATCATGATTATCATAAAGCTTGGTTTTCAGATTACCATTAGGGTCGTAAGCTATTTCTGGTCAAATATCCAAATATGAACATATGTTTAAGGAAGCTCTGAACACTGCACACTAAAGAGTTCTTTTTATAGGGTCGTCTTATGCAGTTAGAGTGATCTGCCATACATGTTAACTCTCCCGATTTAGGCGGGAGTCTACCGCTTTTTCATTCCATCTCCCGCCTACCGATTTAATGCAGAAATCTACCGCTTTTCTTCAAAAGCTTCGTCTAAAGTATTTTTGGTTCGCTTGGGTATCCATTTTTGAAGCCACTCTCATAAAATCTCGCTAGATATCGCGTGATTAGACTCGGAATCATACAAACGCTTTTTTTGTACTTAGATTTCAAGCACGGATTTGACAACGACAACAACACAAGACTACCAGTGATTACATTAGTTACGATAAATTAATCAGCATCCCTGCCACGAAAAAGGAGATACAGCTTTTAAGAATTAGATGAAAACATTTGACATCGTCTTTAAAAGCACAGAAACTCACAACTTTATCAATAAAGTCAATAGAAATCACTCGATTGACCAAGCCATGTTGCACATCTCTACTTTCGTTTTCGATCATCGCGGGAAATCTGATTTATTTAACGAAAGATAGGAACTTGTTTTAGATCTAGATTAAACCATTTTATCATTTGTTTTGTTTAAAAACTGAATGAATATTTTGAATTATTGCTTCTAGGCTAAATCAGCAAAGATCCCTCTTCACAAGGCTAAGTAAAGTAGCCAATCCAAGCAAAATGATGAGCATGAAAAATATTTGAATTTGTACAATTTATGTCAAACTTAAGGTGTTTCTGTCTTCTTCTTTGCTGTTGATATTTAAGATTAATTAGTGTAGGTACCTGGCCCCGGGATCATGAAGCATCTTAAGCTTAAGTCAAAAAATGCCTTAGATGCTGAAATTTTTTAAAGGTCATGCAGTCCAAAATGAAAATGCTTTCCGATTTTGTATCATCAGCCTGCTGTTGCATGCAAATTATGAGTTTCCTTTAACAAGTTTTAAAGATTTTATAGATAATTGCAATTTTGACTTAAGTCTAAGTTTGTTTCATGATCCCGGGGCCTGATTTCATTTAAGGCTTATAATATACATGTATATTACATGAACGATATCGATAATCCAAGCGTTAAACAACACGCGCGCAATGCTACCGCTTTTGAGGTCTGAATCTCCCTCTTTTTCATCACAATAGGTTAACATGTATGGATCTGCCCTTCGAAGTAATATAGTAAATAATGGTTAGATACATTTAATTATACAATTTATAATACTTTATTTTTTAATATTTTAATAATCCTAGAATAAGAAAATGAATTCGTTTTTTTGTAAGTTAACAACAGTGATTTCTGCTCACGGGTAGTCCATTGTGTTTGAACATTTTTCCTGCTGAAATAAGGCAGGTACTCCATGTTGAAAATTACCTGCAAAGTCTCTATTTGCACACCTTTATGTGATATATGTCCAAAAGCACTTTTTTATCAGAGTTTAGAGCTTCCTTAAGACTCTTGGTATCTTATATTTCAAGCTCATGAACACAAAAATGGAAATAAACATCGTTAATAAACTATCCGTCGTCAATATAACAAATGTCCAGCTGAAGGCCACAAGTGATTTCTCTTCTTTTGACGTATAAGATTTAGAATTCATAATTTTTAGAATGTCTATTGACAAGGGAAGTTAATTTAAGAGTTCCATTTTTATTGAATATTCTATGATTTTAAATTTTCCAAAAGTTTCTTGGAATATCGAAATCTGATAAACACCATCTCTCGAATATAGTTGCACAGTACTCCTGAAATTTCTCCTTCACTGCTGTTAATAAATTACCTTCGATATAAAACCTCTTTATCAACTTCATAGTATTTGTTTATAAAATAAGATTTTTTTTAAGATGATCATTTTCGCATAACACCTGAAGGTTTTTTTCCTTCACTGCTATTTTAATATTATTTAGAACATTGTCTAAGCTAGCTATGAATCTTTGTAAGAATTCTTTTGATTTTTTAGGGTGATTCAATATCAATTTGCTTCTTGAGAATATCTAAATTTCTTTCAAATTGATGTAGCATTTGAATATAACTTCTTAGGTCAGTCGCAGTCGTGATTCGAACAAACAACTTATGCCTAGGTCACATTTCCCGGCCGGTAGCCGTTGACCGGTGGTAATCGGTAGTAATCCGTGGTGTTAACGATGCCCCAACATCGGTCCACATCGGCCTATTAGTCGTAAAAGTATCAGTCACATTATCCAGTGCTGTGCATACGATGGGCAACCAATGCGTTTTATGAGAAAAATGGCGTGGTTGCCGGCCGGACTTACAAAGGTTCAGCGATGCATTGCTAATCATAAAACGATGTTCCAGGATAATCGGCCGATGTATATTACATCGTTCATACATTGGTGAACATCGTTCGTACATCGGTCGACTACGGACCAATGTTTGGTCCAACATCGACCGATGATCGGTCGTTATCTGTTGAACACCACTCAACCCCCCGATGACCTCAGATTCAACGGAAATTGGACGATGCTCGGCCATACATCGGCCGATCCTTGAAAGATGTGTTTATGATGGGTTGCCGATGAGGAGCGATGTGAGGCATCGTTGGAGACATCGCTGAATTTTAACTACGAATTATTTCCTACCGATGACCCCACCGATTCGCAAAAAAGACTCAGTCACCGTCCAATCACTAGTGGTGCCCGGCCGGCAACCACGCCATTTTCATCAAAAAACGCATCGGTTTCTCATCGTTTACCCCATCGTTGGATAATGTGACTTATACTTTAATTCGATCACGGAGCGAGTGCTCAATTGAGAGGGATTAAACATGGCAGCAGGAACCGGGGGGGGGGGGGGGGGAGACGGGTGGTCGAGATTTCGTAGTTTAGTACATAGAAAACATAGATATTGAAGGCTTGTGCCCACTCAATTAAAACGTCTGATGACTCTTTATTTTAGATATATGGATCCCCCATTCCCCCAAACTGAAATTGTCTCCTACAGGCCTCAATACTCATACAATGATAACCAAGTTTCTCGAAAACAAATTTACTGAAGAACATTGCAGAGAATTCCTTTATGTTGTACAAAAATGCATGCAGCAATATTTCCTTATCTATTTGGACTCGTAAATGACGAAAATACGGTAATAAAACGTTTTCACGATTGTCTGAAATATTAGTCATACTAATGTGTTCTTTCAAAGGTCTCATTATTGTTATAATCAGGTGCTCTACAAATCCAACATTTATTTGAAACCCTGACAATCTGCTAAATGTGTTAATATTGGTTCACTATATGTCGCCATTGTATCTATTGAACAGAAGGTCTTGTGGCCATGGTAATGTTTACACCAATTAGAATATCTAGAGAAGAAGAGTTTTGTAAAAAGAAACTTTTAAAAATGCTCAGTATTAAAAAGCAGATTTTTCTACCTTATCTGAAGCTCTACACACAGAGAATAATATTCTTTGTACCTTCAAATAGTAATTTTTTTCTAAAGGTCATAAGAAATAAGTTTCCCGAATTTTTCAGTACACAATCAAATTTTAAGAGCAATTTTAAAAACAACATGTTATTATAAAACTAGTACTTAAAATTACTTTCAGTTGGAATCCAGTCGTGAAATGTTCCAAAGATATATTTATGTTCGGATACCATTTTCCTTTCCAGTAATTCTATAAGCAAAGAAGAATAAATATCTTGAAGTTCTTTTGTTCGCCTACAGAGATCAAGAAGGGTGGATCAAAGATATTTTAACTTATTGTTTGCATTGACAAACATTAAAAAATGTGAAAAGTGAGAAGTTTGAAACATCAAAACATTTGCACACGTCGTAACTAGTGACGTAAATATAATTTATAATGAGGATCTTAAATCGCTTATTTTAAAAGGACAACAATTAGGTAACCCCGATCTTTAATCTTATTTCATACTTTCATAAATATTATAACCTGATCCCACCTCTGATGTTTTGGAGGTCCGTGTTTGCTCTGCTCTTAATTTGTATTGTTTTATGGACTTTTGATCTTGAATACTGTTTGTTATCTCCATATGTTTTATTCATATAATATAATTACGCAAAGCGATGGGCAAAATATAAAAAAAAAAAATGACCTTGACCCGTTTCCAGAATACAATAAATGTATCAGATGTAATGTAATGTATCAGATTGATTAAAATTCTGTTGACATTTTTCATACTGATTATTAGGCCATCATTTACACATTGAATTGTCCAGGATTTTTTCCTTTCTTTCCCGGTTATAACAAGGAATGCTCGGAGAGTGTGACCGGTTGGTAGGGAATGCTCACTCCTCCATGGCACCTGATCCCACCTCTGATGTTTTAGATGTCCGTGATTGCTCTGCACCTATTTTGTGATATTTATTGTTAGCTCCATATATTTCAGATAAATTCATAACTTACATACAGTTTTCTTGATAATGACAAGGAGCACACGGCAAATGTGACCGGTCGGCAGGGGATCCTCACTCCTCTATGGCACCTTATTTCACCTCTGATGTTGTAGAGTTCCGCATTTGCTGTTGTCCTTATTTGTTTTTTTAATGGACTTGAATACTTTTCGTTGACTCCATATTCCATTTTTGATGTATAAACCCGTTGACGCAGCAAAGAGTATTTTTTATGACATTGCTTGATTTTTTACGCAATTTCATCTATATATAGATAAATGCTTTGTAACACTGAAAAGAAAAATCACGCCAATCGCATTAACAGCGCCCATGACAAAAGTCAATTTTTCAATATTTCGTTTAATTTTAAGAGGAGCAAAATCGTGTTTTTAAGCCTGGCAAAACACGCAATACCATTGTCAAGAAGTAATCGCCTATTCAAGTTTTGTTTTCAAATATAATAAGAACTTCTTGCAAACATCATTTTTTTATTATGTTAACCCTATCTGATTTCCTATACAAAACACTTCTGTATTGCATTACATAAATATTGGCAACATACCTCAAAAATAAGCAATTTAGTTCCAATAAATCAAATCCACAATCATCAAGTTTCAGTCAAACTGAAACAACAGATGTTAAGGCAGATTAATCAGAAAATTCTCTCTTTTTATTCTTCATTAATTTAGTGCTATTTCTCCATTCCCCTGACTTTTTACATACATTTTTTTTAATTTGCCTCTATTTTTGTCAGTGTTATTTATTTTGCTAATTCTGTTTTTCCTCAATATCATTACAAGCATGTCTTTGCAACGAATCAAGTTCCATTGAATTGCCATTGTCCTTCGTAGAGGTAGTTCCGCTACATTTCTTCACAAGGCACTGTGACTGAAACACCTCTCTAAATCTATATCGAAAGTCTTTGTTGATAAATGCATACAAAAAAGGATTGACCATACTGTTAGAGTACATTAAGACTGTACATATGTGTAAAATCACTACTGTGTTTGCGACAGTTTTTGACATAAAGAACACGACAAAAACTATCTGGAAAATCCAATAAGGTAACCAGCAAATGATATACGACAAGATGATGGCCAAAACAAGGTATGTGATTTTTCTATGATATCTGAGCTGTTCCTTTGATCTCTGTCGTTTTGCTGGTCCGGCGCTTTTCATATGAATAATTACACAGGTATAAAATGTGGATATAAAACATAGTGGAATCGCAAACCCGAGAACAAAGATATAAATGATATATATTGGAACTTCTCTCACGTCCTGCCAATCCAACATACAGGAATCTTTTCCTTTCATGTGAGGATGGGGCATTCTTTTCGAATACAAAATTATAGGCATTGAGAGTAGAAGTGAAAAGATCCAAATAGAAACTAGGAGACTTATTGTTCACAGAACAATAAGAGGTCTTTCCACCTTCTTTGAATTTCAAATTTGTTATATATCTGACTCCTTAAAATTAAATTCCATGAAAAAGAATCCAAAATGGTCTTAAAGCATAGAGAAATGAAAATTTAAAAAAAAAAGGAATGACCTTGACCTTTGATCAAGGTCAAAGGTCAAGGGTCCCAATGCAATTGACCCCATGCTTCTACGACTTATACTTTTCAATTTATCATGTTTAATAGTAAGTACAAAGAAGTTAAAGGGCAATAACTCATATAAGGGGTCATCAGATTCTTTAGCACTGATACAGTGAAGTTAGGTCTTTAGACCCTTAAAACATCAGTGAAGGTTTGGTGTCTCTACGGTCTATGGTTTCAAAGGAGTAGCGATAACAAGGTTTTTCGCACAAGGGGCAATAACTTTTCAAAGGGTCAATCTTAGGGTACAAGAAAAAAATCATTAAAAGAGTATTAAGAGTGCATGTTACAGACAGAAGATAGATAGTATATGTTTGAGGATATAAAAGCTATTGAAAGAAATTTATTCCTCATATTTGGAATGACCTTGACCTTTGACCTTGAAATTAATTTGAAGGTCAAAGGTCAATAAATCTTATGCAGTTGGTCCCATGTCTCTTTCACTTCTCGTTTTGAAAATTTTTAATTATTTCTAGAATTAAAACAGTTTCAGGGGCAATAACTCATTGAAGGGGTCACCGAAAACTTTCGCAATGAATAGATTCCAGAGTCCTCTCAATTAGTCGAAGACTTTAGTGAAGGTTTCATATTTGTACGGTTTATGGTTTCGAAGTAGTAGCGATAACAAGGTTTTCCGCACAAAGGGCGGTAACTTTTAATAGGGTCAATCTTACGGAATACGAATTGAATCTTTAAAATAGTTTCAAGAGTACTTATTTATGATGCTAAGACAGTTTGTATATGTTAAGAGACAAAAAAGATATAAAAAGAACTAAATTTCTCAGTTTTGGAATGACCTTGACCTTTGACCTTTACATGAATTTTAAGCTCAAAGGTCAATGAATCTTATGCAGTTGGTCCCATGTCTCTATCACTTCTCGTTTTGAAAATTTTTAATTATTTCTAAAATTCAAAAAGTTTCAGGGGCAATAACTCATTGAAGAGGTCACCGAATACTTTCGCAATGAATAGATTCCAGAGTCCTCTCAATTAGTCGAAGACTTTAGTGAAGGTTTCATATTTGTACGGTTTACGGTTTTGAAGGAGTAGCGATAACAAGCATTTCTTGCGAAAGGGGCAATAACTTCGAAAGGGGTCAAAGTTCAAACAAGGGCTGTCGTTTTTCAGAATAACTTTTGATATCCAGTTTCATGAACTATAAAGTTTTTCGATAAGTCTTGCGGTTTCAAAAGTCCGGGAAGAAAAATAATAATAATAAACATAAGCATTTCAAGAGGTCTTTCCACAGAAAGGTGGAAAGACCTAATAATCACAAAAACTGATTTAAGTGGTTGTCTGTATTTATAAGCAACATCAGGTTTACATACTGCAATATAACGGTCCACACTTAAAGTGGTTAAGGTAAGAACGCTGGAAAAAGTGGTTATAGCTTGCGTTGTAAAGAAAATCCTACACATGATTTCACCAAACACCCAGTACTCGGTTATGGTTGTCGTCGTTACCATGGCAATATGAGATAAAAATATCAAATCTGACAAAGCCAAATTCAAAAGGTACATATTAGTTACAGTTCTCATCTTCGGTGATTTCAGTATAACATAAATAACTAAAGCATTTCCAAAAAGGCCGCATAATCCGATTAAAATATAAGTCACAACAAGAATGGTGACATTAATTCCATCTGTGTCAATTCTGCCTAAACCGTCGTGAGTTGTATTATTGACATCATACATCTTGCACAATCTCTATTTTCCGAAGATTATGTAGAGTTGAACAGGATACAGATAATTGAATTTTTATCAATGCAGACACCTAACACCCTGACAGCACAGACTGCAGCTGAAACTCGGTAACTGATACAGCTGTAATGATTGTAGTGGAGCGACGATCTGCTCCTATATACTTGCTGTGGGTCAATAGAAATTGAGATAAAACAGCAGAGTTACAAAGTTTTAGATGTTCGCCCAATATAAACTGAAATTTTATGTCACTGGTTGAATAATAAGTTTGATATCTTATTTCGATCTTCATTTTCAATTTTGTCATTTATTGAATGCTTCGTATTTATTAACTATCTCTAAATCTATCTAAAATAAAAAAAAACAAAACATTGGCTTATTTAGTGCTTTTTTGTTTCTCCATTTGCTACATCACCAGAAGATGATTGTGCTTGTTAATGAAATTGTAAAAAAAAAAATGTTGATGGAATTGTAAAAGTCATTTGATACACTTTTAAGTTTAATTCTAAGCCTATTTAATGCGCCCTTTTTTACTTTGACAAATATTGTCAAATGATATTTACTTGAATGAAAGCACAAAAGACATTTAATTAAACAATACAAAAATTTGAGCAGAGCAATCACGGACCTCCAAAACATCATGGGTGGGATCAGGCGCCAGGAAGGAGTAAGCATCCCCTGCCGAATGCTCACAGCCGCTATGTGCTCCTTAATTGTCATGATCTGTAAATAACAGGAAAATTTTAGCGTGTAAATAATAGCCTAACAATCACATGGAAATCGTCAGTCAGCATTTGACTTAATAATGGATCCCACCTCTGATGTTTTGGGGGTTCATGTTTGCTCTACTCCTATGTTTTATTGTTTAATGGACTTTTGAGCTTGAAAATTGTTCGTCATTTCCATATATTTCATAAGCTGACAAGATCATTGTTTCGCCAATAGATACATGTATATGATTTCAAACAAAATTGCAGATAGCCTTGGTTAATCAACTTGTTTGTCAATAATTAACCTCGATTTAGAAACTTAGAAATTGATCAGGTTAGAAGTTGAACGTCACAGCAAGCGTTATGCAGGTGATGAAGGTATATTGCTGCATGAGTAAGGGAAGCTGACGATTGAAAAGTTAAAGTCATCTTGTTTATCACAGAGCTTGGTTGTTAGATTTCCATAAATGTCTTTTTGATGTAAATTATCCAAATATGAGACAGCTGTGTCAGACCCGGTGGTAATTTTTATCTCAAGCTCACCAGAATTTATCGTATCGACATAAGAATGGAAATTACCCTTGTCAATTGAAAAATTGATCATAACTGATCAAGCTCACCAGGATATATCGTATCGACATAAGAATGCAAATTACCCTTCTTAATCGATAATGCGTCGTCAATATCTCTGTCGAGTTGAAGGCCGAAGCAAGTGATTTCTTCTTTTCACGCATAAGATTTTTCACAAATTCTGCTTTATATGAATACAAAAATAGGTCTGCTAATAAGGCAGCGCAATTAATACTCATAGGAATTCCAATAGATTGTTGAAAGACCTGATCTCCAAAAACAACATAGATAGTGTCAATCAGAAACTCAAGCAACTTTTAATGTCTAGTTATTAGTACTTGTGTGTATAGTCAGATTGCTTTAACAAAATAATTTTGCAAATGACCAGTGACAAGGTAAGTATATTTACGAGTTCCATTTTCATTGAAAAAGCACTGTTAATGATATCAAAAAGCCTGGACTTTAATTTATCCTGGGAAATGGCTGTGTATAACGTTTAAAAGTCATAAATTTTTTGGCTGTTGATTTTGTAAAAATCTTGTGATTTCAAATTGTCCAAAAGTTCCTTGAAATTTTTACTTATCCACATCTGATTTACACCACTTCTTGAATATATTGTTGCACAGTACTCTTTGAATTTCTCCTTAATTACTGTCATTACCTTAGTGAGGAGTAAACAAAGAGGCTTGGTTGAACATTTACTGGAACCCGCTATTTATCTTTGTTTGTAAGGATATTATGTTTCAGAATCCAATATATAATATTATGATAGTTCAATTCATTATGGTTCTTTGGGATATTAAAAATATTCAAAACTGACATATGATTTTGAGGATAGATTCTTCTATTAAAACCAAGTTCAGTGTTTGTATGTAGAATCAAAATCATCCTAGTGAACAACGATATATAGTAGATGACCAATATATGGAAATTTCTGAGTTTAATTTTTATTAAGGAAACATTGTTAATGATGTCAAAAAGCTCTCTCTTGAATCAAAACTGACAAATGGTAATAAAAAGTAAAATATCATGTGTTTTGATAAAAGTGATGAAAAAATCTGAAGACCTTTTAAAACCAAGATTTAATTCACATAATTTATTGAATCTTGAAGAAAATGTTTGTCTGCATTTTACTTACGTGTACATTTCTTAGATTCTTTGGGGTTTTTTTTTTGGTTTGAAATTACGCATATCTATTCAACCCTGTTATGGTGACGTTTTCATATGATGACTTCGAGTAAAATATTTTTGTTTTTTAAGAACTTGATAACTTCGGAAATCTAGGCAAGTGTATTTAAAATTGCGCATTAAATATCGACTTATTTTACCTCAATCATAAAACTGAAGTATTTTATCTGAGAAAAGTCTATAAAAATTCCACAAGGTTGATGATGGATTTAGTTTTAATTGCAAATAGAATGCATTGAGTCTCGCTGACATGTAAAAAATGATTTTACTGCTCCCAAATTCTGGGAAACGTCTACCTTGACGTTATGATCTTTCGGCGAGTTTTTAACGAGAGATAAGGTTTTACTATTTCAAAACAAACATCTCCACTAGTGAACAAGACTCCCATGACCCACGTAAAGCCACTATATACGCAACTAAAACAGACATATTCCTCAATTCCAGTTCTAGGCATATTTTGATTGTCAACCTCATTTCGCATTGCCAGTGCGCATTGTCTTTTCGATACACTTCACATTTATTTTTCAAAACTTTTACAACTGACATATTCTTGGAAATGTACAGGTCATAAACAAGCCTTTTAAATCAATAAAGAAATGGATTCATCTTTTGTGTTACATATAATCATGC